CGCGCCAGAGGAGTAAACAAACATCTGAAGGGCGACGGCGGTAAGGAAGAGGAGGGAGAGCGAGGAGAAGCACTGGCAGGAGCGAGGCGGAGGGGGGGAGACGAGGAGGAGGAGGAGGAGGCTACAGGTCCTTACAAGAATCCGCGGACCCCTTGGGGTATACGGCATGTGAGACTGTTGTCCTTCTCCGAACCCCTCCCCCGGGAGTCCCGCCTGGCCGGTTTCGAGGGGGGGGGAAGGGGGCCGAAAGTTCTGGCGGTCCTGGCCGCCTCATAAATGCTCCTGGATGGTCCCCGACGGCTTCGGAATGAGTCCAAGGGTTTCCTGAACGATCCAAAACGGCCAGTGGCAGCCATTCGGCCGGAGATGGCAGCCAGTCGGCCCGAGATGGCCTCAAAACTACCCAAGAAACCTCCAAGACGCCACCCGAGGGCTCCAAGAGAACCCGCACGAGGGACCCAACAAGAAGAAAACTTCCTATTCCCCAAGTAAACCTTGCATGTTATGCAGATTCCCGTTCTGGTTGTTCCAAGCGTCCCAGATTGCCTCAGAAACCTTCAAGATCAACCCAAGACAGAGGCCCTCCACAGGGCCCCAAGTCGGCTCACGACGGTTCATGGACGGCCCAAGAAGCGCCCAAAAAAGCCCCAAACGAGTCCCAAGCCAGCCCAAAATGGCCCCAAGACGGCCCAAGAGGGGCCCAATACAGTTCGAGATGGCCCCCAGACGGCCCACGCGACGCCTAAGACATCCTAGGAAGGCAAAAGGAACAACAAATGAGTTTCGCAGGGGGGGCGATTCGACCCTTGAACCCCAGACGAAACCCTTTGGGGTCCCCATTCGGCCCCCGAGCGGCTTCAAACTGCCTCCAAGACTGGAGGTTGGACGAGTGGTGAAGAGGCCCCACGTAAGGGTAAAACAGCAGTTCGTCACGCTCTCGGGGCCCTGGATGCCTGTCTTCTGGGCGGCATTGCCGTAGGATCGAAAATTGACGATCGAAGATCGATGGGAGGACCGAAGGAAACATAAGGAGGAAGAGGAGGAGAAGGACGGGACAAATCGAGGAAAGCCGTCGATCAAACGGGCCGGGGCGAAAAGGGAGGGGGAGGAGGAGGAGGAGGAGGAGGAGGAGGAGGAGGAGGAGGAGGGGGAGGAGGAAAGAAAACGAAAGGGAAGGAAAGGAAAGGAATACGAATAGCAACGCATTAATGGACATCCTATGACCAAGAACTGTCTCGGCACCCACGGGCGCTAAGGGGCCGACGGTGCGGCGTAAGCCACTGGATCCACGTCCGGAGGTGACGTGCTGAGCGGCAGCGTTTTTCGGCGAACGCCTTGATGCAACGCACCCAATGTATCCAGAGATTCCATACATGCAACAGATCGTATTGTGTTACATTATCATGTCTCCCCCCTACCCCCCCCCCCCCCACTGGGAGCTGCGCCACACCGCCGGACCAAAATGACCCCTCCCTTCTGGGGGCCCAAAAACTTACAAAAACCTATGAACAATCATCAATTTCGGCCTCTTGGGCCTCTTGGGGCTCCAAGAGGGCCTCAAGATGGCCCTCAGACGGCCCAGGACGGCCCAAGATATTCCCAACGGGGGCCCATGAGGCCCCCAAGACGGCCCCAAGAGGGCCCCAAAAGCCCCAAGGACGACCCAACAGGGCCCAAGAGCGCCCATAACTGCGCCTCCAGAAGCCGAAATCATTGATTTTCCGATGGTTCTTGCAATATGTTAGCGTTCTCGTCTTTTTCGGCTTTCAAAAATCCATGACGGCCCAAGCAGCTTCCAGAATCGCCCCAGAACGGCCCCAAGAAACCCCACGAGGGCCCCAAGACGGCACACGAGGGCCCCAAAACAGCTCAAAGAGGCCCCCAAGACGGTCCAAGAGGCAGCGAAGACGGCCCAAGAGGACTACAAGAGGGCTCCAATGCGGCCGCGAGAGGCCCCCAAGACAGCCTCCGAGGGGGCGAAACGGCGCAAAAGCGCCCCAAGACGGCCCAAGACGCCCTCAAGAGGCCCCAAGAGGCCCCCAACAAGCCTCCAAAAAGTCCCCCAGAAGCCCCCAAAAGGCCTCCAACAAACCCCCCAAAGGCCACACAGCGACTGGTGTGTAATGATATTTTCCCCCCTCTGGGCGAACTGCGGCGCAGCGCCAGCCAGAGGTGGAAGTTGGTCACTGCGGCGCCCATGATTGGAGTCGGCGATGGAAGGGAGGATGGGAAGGGTGAGTGAAAACGAGGGAAGGGGGAAAGCCCCCAAAGAAGCCCCCAAAAGGCCAAAAGAAACTCCCAGGAAGCCTCCAGAAGGCCCCCAAAAGGCTCCCAAGAGGCCCCGCGACGACGTGACTGTACGTGCTCCGGACGTGCACCCCGCGAAGCGAGAGGAATCCACGTCCGGAGGTGACGTGCTGAGCGGCAGCGTTTTTCGGCGAACGCATTACTGCAACGTGTCCAATTTATCCAATGGTTGCATACTTGCCACATGTTGTATCGTGTTACATTATTCTGTTTCCCCCCCCTAACCCCCCCTGGGAGCTGCGCCGCGCCGCCGGACCAAAGTGCCCCCCCCCCTCCCGGGGCTCAGAAACCGACCAAAACCTATAGAAAGTCAATGATTTCGACCTCTTGGAGGGCCAAGAGGGCGCCAAGACGGTTCAAGATGGGCTCTGTGCGGGCCAAGACGGCCCCGAAACGGTCCAAGACGGCCCCAAGAGGGCCCAAGACAGCCCAACAAGACCCCAAGACGGCCCCAGGGCGGCCGCGAGAGGCCCCCAAGACGGCCTCCGAAAGGGCGAAACGGCGCAAAAGCGCCCCAATACGGCCAAAGATGCCCCCAAGAGGCCCCAAGAGGCCCCCAAGAGGCCCCCAAGGAACCCCAAGAAACCCCCAAGAGGCCTCCAAGAGGTCTTCAAGAAACCTCCCAAAAAGGCTCCAAAGAAACCCCCCGAAGGCCACACAGCGACTGGAGTGCAATGCCATTTTTCCAACCTGAGCGAACTGCGGCGCAGCGCCATCCAGGTGGAAGTTGGTCACAGCGGCGCCCATGATTAGAGCCGGCGCTGGAAGGAAATATGGGGAGGGAGTATGAAAAGGAGGGAGGGGGTAGAGGCCCAAGAAAAGTCCCCAAGAGGCCCAAGGAAGCTCCCAGGAGGCCTCCAGGACGCCCCCGAAAAAGGCTCCCAAGAGGCTCCGCGACGACGTGACTGCACGTGCTCCGGACGTGCACCCCGCGAAGCGAGAGGAATCCACGTCCGGAAGTGACGTGCTGAGCGGCAGCGTTTTCCGCGGATGCCGTAACGCAGTGGATCCAATGTGTCCAATGTATGCATAATTGCAACATACTGTAGTGTGTTACGTTAGTATGTCTCCCCCCCTGGCCCCCCCTGGGAGCTGCGCCACAAAAGCGGACCAAAGTGCCCCCCCCCCCCCCCTCCTGGGGCCCAAAAACCTACCGAAACCTATAGAAAATCTATGATTTCGACCTCTTGGGCCTCTTGGGGGGCCAAGAAGGCGCCAAGACGGCTCAAGATGGGCTCTGTGCGGGCCAAGACGGCCCCGAGACGGTCCAAGACGGCCCCAAGAGGGCACAAAAAAACCCAATGACGGCCCAAGAGGGCCCCAAGAGCGCCCACAACTGCGCCTCCAGAAGCCGAAATCATTGATATCCCTTTGGTTTGGTTTTTTTTTAGCGTTGTCGCCTTGGCGGCCCAAGCAGCTTCCCGAATCGCTCCAGAACAACCCAGGAACCCCCCAAGAGGGCCCCAACACGGCCCAACAAAACCCCAAAACGGCCCAAAAAGGCCCCCAAAACGGTCCA